GCACATGTGCCAGATGCTGATAGCTATATATAGCCACTCAAACAAGAATGACTGCAGAGAGTATCTTAGCCAGGCAAATAGGAATTTGCCTGAGTAAGGCCAGGGCAAAACTGAACAAAAAAAAAACATATTCAACATTTAATCTATCGTGCATTACTTCTGCTGCAGAAGTTGTGCAAGTACTCTGTGAAGTGGAATAAGAACATGTCCTCATGATGACCTTATCTACATTTCACGTAAATGTGTTCCCAAATTTAACAGAACCAAATCTATCCTTTTTACCATTAGACTGCTAGTCATTCTTGAATACAACCTCTATTTCCTTGCTCCATAACCCTTAGAGAAGTAAGCAAAGGACAATAGATAAAGCTTCTTCAAAGTAATAAAAAAAAGCAGCATGCAGCCTATAAGATGAAATTAAAAACCAGTACTCACATATAAAGAATACGATTTGCCATCTTAGGTTATTCTTATTGTCTCACTCATAACAAATTTTAGAAAAGAGAGGCACTTGATATTCCTGCCTCTTTTCCTCTATATCCTGGTATCACATTTCTTTTCCCTTCTATCCAGTACAGTAGGTTTTTACCTACAGCAGTATAATTTCTAAGTAGTTCAAAATGTGAAATAGCAGTACTTGAGATGACGAGCTATCATTTCTACAGAGCACTATGATAATTTTGGAAGGACCGGGAGGTTGGGTATGGATTCTAATTAACACTGATGAACCTGGCTCCTAAAGATTAAATTCCCAAATGAGTAACTGCTACCTTTCTACACACAGGTCTATCCAAGTTATTCTCATTAAAACAATTAAAAAAAAATTATAAGCTTCAGTCTGTGTCAAGATACTGAAGGCTTTCCAAAACTGATTAAAAATATTAAATGAGGTATTGAACTACATTAAAAATCAACCTTTTTCATGTATTGAAAAGTAATGGTCTATAATTTGTATTCAAGTGATTTTATTTCCAGTGAATAATAATTGTACTGCAGCCAACTTTGTGCCCTGTTTCTCTGAAAACCTCAAGGGATGTACAGAAGAAGATTTTGTATCCTAGTCAAGACAGAAACGCTTTGCATGACGTTGCTTCTTATTCTTCAGTTCTTACAGGGAGGCTTAACTTTGTTTCATTATGTGTTTGTTTTTCCACTGATGGTTCCTTCAAACTGGTAAACACAAATGAAAGTGCATTGATATTAGATATACTGATAGACTCTGGAAAGTACCATAAGCTAAATGCAAGTGCATGGAAGCAGAGGACTCGAATCCATTAGTAAGTGGACTGGCAAATCAGGAGATCTGTAAAAATATATTCTTGTTTCCTGGTTTCCTCTGTGGAGCTTGAAGTTGCCTATAGTTACGTGATGTTCAAAATAAAACTGAAACGTCACACAAAAGTGCTCATCACTTCATGTGCCCCAACTCTGCAGGAGTTGGGGAAATGGTCATTTCTCACCATTCACTCCTCTATTTGGTCAGGCCAGGCAGTTTTTCCCCTGTCCTCCAATTTTTCCTCCTCTGACTCTAATGTTTTCTCTCACACCTACAGCCTGCACTCACATCTTGCTTCCCCTGTTTGCATCTTCTTCCCTTATAGCCTCCTGCAGTTCAGTTTTCAGTTCACTTAAGCAGCTGTAGAACTTGCCTAGGCCAAGTTGAAAAGTATAGGCTTTGGACCATGGTATAACCAGGAACATTTTAAGAGCTGAAACTAGGAAAAAAAAGGTGTAATGACAAAATTAGGCCTGCAGACAGAAAGCGAAGGCTATGAAAGTGATGGAGAAGGTGGTGATCAGTGGCACAAAGTCTAGTTGGAGGCTGATAAAACAGTGGTGTGCCCCAGGGGTTAATACTGGGTCCAGTCCTGTTTTACATCTTCACTGATGAACTGGAGGATGGGGCAGAGCGTAGGGTCAGGAATTTTGCTGATGATACAAAACTGGGAGGAGCAGCTGATACACCAGAGGGTCATGCTGCCATCCAGAGGGACCTTGACAGGCTGGAGAAATGGGCTGCCAGGAACCTCATTAAGTTCAACAAGGAGAAGGGCAAAGTCCGGCACCTGGGGAGGAACAACCCCAGCACCAATACAGGCTGGGGACTGACTGGCTGGGCATGAGCTCTTCAGGGAAGAACATGGGAGTCCTGGTGGACAAGCTGACCACAAGCCAGCAACACCTCACAGTGCTGCCTACACTAACCCCTGGAGCACACTGACTGCCCTACCTAGCCCATCTCAGCTGCACACCTTTTATTTTAGCAGACATAAAGCTTCATTCCACCACCTGCACTCCAGATACCCTATCCCCAAGCTCTCTGCCCCTCTCCTGCTTCCCATATTCTCCTGGCTGCTCTTAGGCAGCTTTCTGCCACTCTCCTTTCTGTTTCCATATAGCTTCCCAGACACTGTTGTAGCCTACTTGTCAGCCTACTTTCCCTCGCAATCTTCCTATATGGCATCTCTACTCTTCCCACGGCCACGAGGGATACAAGGTCTTTCCTGGCCATCACCTTTAGCCCCACCCTGGACAAGAGAGGTCTCATTTTGCCTGCAGATGTTCAGAGGACCATGACCGCTTTTGTGCTGAGAGCAGCTTAAAACTTCTGTCCCTAATAGGGGACAGTGAACATTTGATGCAAAGGAGAAGTTTTATGAGTTTGAAAGCAGAAATTTAAAAAATGCATGGAAATTCTTACAAAACTGTGCTAGGAGATGTATGATAGAAATAACAAGAATGGAAAAACATTTTGAAATAAAAAGAAGTATGATTGAAAATTAGAGGGAGGGTGGATTAGGCAACACTGACTGAAAAAACTTTCAGTCTTGGTCAATATTTCTCCCTGTAGCAATACCAGTGGCTTACCAATTTCATCCTGTGCCATTTGGGATGGAAAATGTTAGAACAAAGGAAATGTCAGGATAAAGGAAAAAAAGCTGGGCACTTTTATCACCAGGACTCTCAGCCTTCCAACATGAGATCTAAACATTGTCTTTCATTAGCTCCAGTTTCAAACGCCAACACCTATAGCACCTACTATTTTTCTTCTGATTTTTTATAATCACTTAGCTCTTTTTTAACCTACCATACAATGTTTTTTGCCCACCTCCTTCAAGTTCAGTTAAATGTTTATATTATGCTATCACCAAATACTGTTTCCTTAATGCTGCATCCCATAAAATCTGTGAGAAGTTGGTGAACACTTTAGCAGCTACCCTGCAACTCTCCTACCATAGCTTACATTGCCATCAGTATCTAAGCAAGTTAAAACAATCTCAAAATACGTCTACATGTATAGAAAATGCTGTATAAATCTACCCTTATGCCTCGGCATGGATTACATACAACAAATGAAAGCTTTCTTTCCTGAGGTAGGTGAATTTGGAATGCAAATGGTAAATCCTGAATTTCAGACAAACAAATGATTGCCTATCAAAACTCCTTTCCAAACTAGTCCTTAGAGTATTGCATACATGTAAAGGGGGAAAATTTGAAAGATCGAGACAATTGCCACAGGCATCTTTAATTCTAACAATACTTCCCACTTGCAGATAGGAGCACAAGTCTGAAAGAGGTAATAATAGCTAAATGGATATTAGTACCTGCCATTACCTGATCTATCAGCACAATTACAGCAGTTTGTGAATGCTAAATTTGCTTATCAAATCCGGCTTAAGAGCCTAAAACAACCCCTTTTCAGGAACAACATATCACCTACATGTTGTTTGGAACTGATGGAACTTTAACTTAGAGAAAAACCACATGGGTATAATGCCTAAAAGAGCTGAGAGAAGTAATTGCTTCCAGAGAGATTTCTTTCCCAAACTGAACCGAAGGGGGAATACAACACTCAACTCCATTTCTGAAAAACAGGCATTAAGAGGCCAGACAACTCCACCAAAAATTAGATTTTTCGTCTCCTTTAACAATGCCAGAAACAAAAATGTTAAGACTAAAAACATCCCAAGACACACCACAGCTGTCAAATAAGAGTAAACAATCACTATCTCCGCTCTGAGAAAGTCCCAGTGATTCAGCCAAATAAAGTTGTTTAGTCCTATAAATACTATAAATGGTTTAAGTCATGGGAGCTCCACCAATTTGCACAAGAGGATGATGTGACCATCTTTGTATTGGCATACAGGCCTCTGAATACACCCAAGGAAAAAAAAATCACCTTTTGTTCTGCCAAAACCAACCATTTCCTCCCCATCCAAAAAGCAAAACCAGAAAATCACAGACTATGTAAGTGATAAAGCAAGGTGTCCTACTGGCATAAACAGAATGTGAAATAAATGAACATAAAATAAGCCCAAGCAGAAATCTTCCATATCTACTGCTGATAACAGAAATGTTGTCTAGAAGCTTTTTCAGACATGTTCTCATACTTGTAGTGTGGCTGGGTTTCTACAGATGGTGATTCTTTAGAAAGAAAACCTCAATCTTCTTAGAAATAGGTTTGAAACAGAAACAGATACTATGAACTAAAAAGAGAGTCTCGTTGCTATATTCTCATCTATTCCACAGATCTCATATTGTTTAACTAATTTATTTAGATTGTGAAACTACTTTGACATCATTGAGGATGGCAGAACTACTTCTGATCGCAAGCACTTCATTTAATCATTGGCAAAGAGAAAAAAGTCAATGAAATATGAACAGTTAGAATACCCATGCCTAGCAAAAAAATAATCCGAATTAAAAATATCCAGATTTATATGTGGACAGTAAGGAAAAAAAATCAGTGAAATAATATACTATTAGTGCCATTGTAGGAGATGTTGTAGTTCTGAAGATAGTGAGCATTTCACTGTTGAGATATCTTTATATTACTGTGGGGCTGATATTTGCAATATAGTATATTAGTGTTGTTAAAAAAAAATTAAACGTGCAAACTAATGTATTAAAAATGTGTAAAGAGACAGATGCAATTTGCAGTTCTAAGCCACCATCATCCATCCAAGGGGGGATGTCATAAAAAGCATAAAACTACTTACCTCTTCTTGCTTAGGAATGCTGAACTTGGCTATCTTTGACTTGGTCCTGGCCGAATCAGGCTTGTTAGAAGGCACTCCCCTATACGACTTGGTTGTCTCTGCTGGTAACTTCAGCTTTGGAGACTCATCAGGAGCCTGGTCTTGACCGTCCATTGGCCTTACATAAGCTGTCGGTTTCTGCTGAACCAGACTGGGCTTCGAAGCAAGAGAGGGTGGGAAGTTTTGGACGCAGTGCCCGCCACCATGCTTTGCTGTCCTTTCTTGCACTTGAGCTCCTCCTTCTGAGCTACAATTGAGCTTTGCTGGCTGCTGCACTCTGTTGACGTTGTCTCCTAGTGTGGCCCTCAGAGAGCTTTGCTGGGCAGTGTTGGAGGAGGAGGAGGAGGAGGAGGAGGAGGAGGAGGAGGTGGGACTCGATGCATAGCGTTTGAGTTTCTCCAGACTGGATTTTTGGTTCGCCAGTTTGAAGTCACCCTTGTGTGACTCCAGCGACCGGTGCCCATGCTTGCTCGCTCTCTGCTGGCCATCCGAAGCGGCATTGTGCCCGGCCTTCTGCCAACCCATCGTAGTGCTTTTGCTCTGCTGGGCAGGTAGGGCTGCTGGTGTGGAAGAAGTAGTGCTGGAAATGGGAGGAGGAGGTGGCGGTCTCGAGTCTGCAATAAGATGTTCATCGGGCTTGGGAAGAGACGTCTGAGGAACCCCAGGTTTTGGAACGCCAACAAGGTGGCTCTGGTTTGATCGGTCAGTTAACAAGTCTTTCATTTCATCATAGTTGCCCAGCGTATTCTGGATGCGATTCGAGAGCTCATCCCCCTTGTTAGTCTGCAAAACAAAAATTGAGTGTTCTGCAACAGTCAATGTAAGAAAAACAAAATTCCCTGCATGCTTCTGCCGAAATCCTTACTGAAGTAGCACTGCCTTATTCAGCAGCGGCGTTGAGGGATGAAATCGAAAATCCTTATTGTCTCTGAAGACACTTGTCAACATCTTAAATCTACCCTGAACTGGAAAAGCTATAAAGGGCCTTAGAGTATATAAAAAAAGAAATCTATCACTGGTATCATGCTGTAGTTAAAGTATATTACCTGGAAACTAGAAAATTTATTATTGCAACTACACAGAATGGTTTGGATTAAATCTGACCATGATAAAACTTTTCCTATAGCCCAGTGCAAGCTCTCCTTCAGCCATGAATGAAAACACTGCATTCCCAATTTCCTTCTCCTGCCTAAGTTTTCCCATGGCATCTGTGAAGCCACAGAACATCCAGTGTAAGCACTGAATGAACCCACTAGTGTAAGCCAACCAAATACTCCGAGGTGACTTGAAGACAGATCGTGGGGCAGTGAGAAAACTACAGATGATTATGTGCCTTCTTTGAAAATACTCTGACAGGATGCTCACTCTAGGGCACTCTCCTCTTTGAAAAAAAAAACGTGAACAGAACCTCTCAAATTCTTCACATTGCTCAGTGCTTGCTGTGTGCGGCAGGGGAAACACAGCCACCCTCCCTCCCCTTTAAGATTAATCATTGTCTTTAAAATCATCCATTTACTTCCTGACTGAAAAGGCAGACGTTCCACAAAGAAATAAAACAAGTAAATAAAACATACTGGAAAAGATTGAAACCCCTTGCTTTAAAAAGCCACCATAAGCAAAAGGGTGTATCATTAACATTTATGCAGCAGAGATTTTTCTGAACCCTGCCAAGATTCAGGCGTGAGATGTTCTTTGCTTTACGTTTTTCAGAGGAAGACAGTAATGAGCTAGTGGTGTTCTCCTTTCTCTCTTCCAGCCATGGGGTCTGGATGGGAAAACTCCCATTGGCTTCAGAAGGGCAAGCTTTCATCTCAAGACTCTCTGTTTTAGAAGAAAACAGAAAGAAAGAGAAAGAAGGGAGTAAAGGGACTGGGGAAGACCCCCTTAAAGTTATATAAAAAATATGAAAGATGTAGCAGCAACATCAGTTACTCTGGAAAATTGGGGGTATTTTTGTTTTTAAAACTTAAAACTTTGTTTTAAGTTTTCCTTACACTTTACTCAAAATGTAAGGAAAACTCCCCTAGTTCAGAAACTTTTTAGGGTTTCCTGAACCAACCTAAATCCAAGCAAAAATGCCCTGTAAATGAGTGCAGTGATTGCCACATGCTAACTTTCAGAGGACTATAGTGGAAACATTCCTAAGTCAGACAGTAAAAGCAGTCCTGTCTTCCTTGAAACTTGTCCCCTCAAATTTCAAGGACACTACCTTGTAACTACGTAAAATACATTACAGCTAGCTTTCTGACATGCATTTTTTACAATGCTAACAGACTTGAATATATAACAACAATATATATTGAAGGGAAATGGGAAGGGAAAAACTCGAAAGTGTTGCATCCGAAACATTGCTTTGCAAACTTGGAATAAGATGGCTCAACCTCTCCAGCCTGATCTCTCTGCATATGAAAAAGAAATATGAAATATGCTATGAAGAGAAATATGAAGCATTAATTCGCAGACAGCAAGTGGCTTAAAAAAAGGGTATTCCTTCACTTCACAGGAATCATATGGATGTCCTAAAGAAGAGGAAACTATTAACGAGGCTTCCAAAGTGGGAAACATCACATACATCTGAAAAGAAACAAGACTGGAGACATACTCAGGTGTCTCCTGAGGTCAATGAAATGGCTTCTACACTTGGGCATTGCCTTGACCAGCAGAATTACTTTCCAGAAGTCACAGAAAATTTTCCTTTTACGCAGTGGATCTCTTCAATGCTTCCAGTGGATCCTCCACCCCATAGATACCTTGTAGAGAGATGTGTTTTCAGCTTCCCTCTAGGGAGGGAGATGTGCCTTTGGGCCTGTACCCAGCCTGACTCAGCCAGCTCATGTGTGTGAGGTTTCCATCCCTGCCAGGAGCATGGTGACAAGCTCCACCAAATGGAACGGGGCTCCTAAAGCACAGACAGCTTGTGGGGCAGCTCTCCACCCGGCTGCCTCTAGGTCCGTGAATGTAAGTGAATTTACGTGCCAAGTTTTGCCCCTGAAAAATCCAACTTCCCTAACAGAAAGTCCATTCTTTCTGATGGCTGCTATTTGGATGGGAAGTAAATGAAAGCCTAATTTCAGATTATCTGTAGACTATCACTAGCCCAGAGAAGTTAGCAGATTGTCTTCTATATGGATGTGATGTGAAGATCACACAGAGACACCTCGTATTGAGACATCCCAGATAGCACAAGAATAATTGCAGCAAACCAATCCAATGCCTGTACCACAGCACGTGCTGGCAACTGGTTGGTGTTATTTATCCCTTCTGGATACACTGGGAACAACCTGAGGTGAGAAGATTTTGTGTTGAGCTGATCTCATCCAGAAGAGTTCTCCTACATCCTTTTGGGAACAAGATGGGATCTGAGGTAATTTGTTATGAGCTTTAGATATAACAGTTTGTCCTATTATTTGCTCTGAAATATTGCTGGCCTTATTTAATCATTCACATAGGGAAAACGTGATCACAAAATGCGTAAGTAGCAAAAGCATTCTGTGCGAACATTTCTGACTTAGAGTGCTCTCATATTCTTCTGTAATGCAAGATGTATCCATGCATTTGAAGACCACAAGATTCAACACTTCTAAAAATATACCTGACGGTTACATGGAAGTTCATCAGAATTTTTTCTTCATTAAAAAAACTGATATGGTTAATGTGGCAAGGTATTCTGTCCAGGAAATATCAGGAATTAAACTCCTACTTTTTACCCCCTGTAAAAGACATTTTAAGTAAAAGATACTGGATTTCCTGTAATCCTCCATAAAAGGGTTGCTATGGATACTTTGAACAGGATAAGGGGCAACCCAAAGAGTCAGGATTTTTCAGAAAATCTGATGTTACAGGAGTAGTGATACATGTCAAGGTGAGAGAGGACATAAGATTTAAGAGATTTCCAGTCTGTCTTTGATTTTCAGATATGGCCTTCTGAATGGCAAATCCTTTGGCTTTAGCTCGTGTTTCTCAAGCTGTGCAGAGGAATACTGAATTTAATCAGAGCTTGCAGTGAATGTCTGCTGTAACTTCACTCCCCTCTGGAAACACCTAAAACTTGAACATGATCTTTAAAGACAGGAAGAGTGGGGTTCAGTTTTTGCTTTTGCAGAAAGGTTTCCTCTTTTGCGGTCAGCCTCTCTCCACGTTAAGATCAAAAAGCCCAAGCCACAGCTCTGCTCTGCCACACTGAAGGTTCACAAATGCTTGGATGAGTTCAGACAGCGCAATGGTCCATTGCCACTGTACGCATCACATTCAGAGTATGCCACTGCTGAAGTTTTGATGTCCAATACTGTCAGAATGACCTGTCATCCCAAGCAGCTGTGACTGTCACAGCAACAGAGCTGTGGGTGAGTTATACTGCTGTCCTAGGCTTTGCCTTTCTCCATGTTTCCTTGACAAAGCCAGCTGTAGGATGTATTTCTGCAGCATCTTCTTTACACGCTTGTCCAAAACAGGGACATAATGTTTAAAGATAAGAACCATGGACGGAGCCGTTATTCTCATCTCCCCATAGGATACCCACTCGGTATCCTCTCTGCTTCTAGAGACGGCAATGATTTTTCATCCACTTCTATTAAAGATGATGGAATTATACTGTGGTTGCATAAAAGTGCCTTCAGACATCGTAACTTAGAAACTACTGGTGTGTCCATGATACATGAAGTTTGTGCCATGACAGTCAGTACATTGGCACACAGGTAACAAAGTGCACAAAATATTCCAACTATACCACTTTTATAATAGATTTGAGCTTCAATATTACCAACTTTAGGTACCACAGACAAAACAGTATCAGGGAACCAGCAAAAGGACAGGCCCTTTTTGTGAGGGGTCTATCTGATTGGACCTACCCAATGGAAAATTATTAAGTCCCCATTGCAGCAGAGCCCTCACAAAATGCCAAGACACAGCTGACAAGCTTTTCAGGTTTTTTCCATGGCTTACCCCTTGATTGGTCTCACAGTAGACTTTTTCAAGCAGAGCCTTGAGGAGTTCAAGACATTTGCCATGGTTTCTAAACGCCTTTGTAATGAATCTGAAATTCGGGCAGCTGGAGGTCAGCTTCAAGGCAGACAGAGCTGTCTTCTATCAAGGGACATGGTTTGAAAGTGGTAGATCTTTCTTTTTTATTAGGGACTAGAAACAAACAACAATCTGGAAGAACAGCAAGCTAAAAGCTGACCCTGGAGCACGGGCAGAAACATGGGAGCATGGAAGTCAGGTGCAGAAGCCAAGTGCCAGGTCCCAAGTAGGACTCCTGGAAAGAGGCACTAAAGCACCCAAAGCATCAAGGACAAGTGATGCTGTGTAGAGGGAAAGGCTTCACAACATGGTGGTTGTAACAGTAACATGGACATTACTGGAAGGGCACTGTAGGTGACAGATGATAATGCTTTGATGCACGTAGGCAAAGTCACTGGGTTAGCTGGGGGAGAGGAGCAGCCCCCATAGGATACCACTCTGGTCCTGTTCACAAGGGCTTGGTTTGCAGGCTTCTGCAAAGTGCAGAAGATCCTGCTTGACCCTTCTAACAGGGAGTTGGGAGAGGCGGTTTTGCCTCATCACACTACTGTTACCATGAAGAATAAAACAGGGAGTTGAGACTCATAAGTTACTTCTGCCTTTGATGAGGGCAAAACATGTCTAGCAGACAAATTTTATTGGCAATGCCTATAGGGGAAAAAAAAAAAAGCAAACACCAAGATATTTCATTGCATTCACCTTGGCCAGAGCATAATGTTTACTGTATCGCTTGACCTTCACACACAATTCTAACACAATTGTTTTCTTCCAAGTGTTGCAATAACAGGGCACCATCACCTTCACCTCCTAGTTTTAATTCCATCTCAAATACTGTTAGGATATTTCTAGTTTATTTCATTCTTATGTGCTGCTGAACATTATAAGAAGCTTATAAATATATATATATATATATTAAAAAAATCCGATTCTCAATGAACCATAAAAGTTCTCTGTGAATTTTGTGAGGCTAGCACTTGTGGGAGGGTGCTGAAACCTGGACAATGCCTTCTGCAGGCTGCATTTTTATACTGTGGAATAAATAAATAAACAAAGAACCACCCAGCTGGGAAGCATCTACCTTGTACGGTTCACTGAAGAGGGAGTAACTTGTGTTAAACGCGCCATCCTCCTGCTGGGCCTCCTGATTTCTCCTTTCCCATTCCTTCCTTCGCAGCACGTTTCTATCCGGCTCGTAGACACTGCAGCAAAAAAGAGGAATAGCTTTTTAAGCGTTAAGAATTAGCGGGCAACATATAAACCAGCATGAATTTAAAAGTGAAGAACTCTGGTTTCCAGACAGATGGCAAAAATAAGCAAGAACATGAATCAGATGAATGCCAGTCCAAGCAGGCTGGGGACGCTCAGGTCTCTGGGAATGCTGGTGCTTTCTTCACACAGAGAATAGATAATTAAATTCTTACAGAAGAATAAAAAAGAAATCACAGGGCAGGATCTAGTCTGTGCAGAACTTCTCTGCTTGAAATGTGACAAAGGAAATATCTAAGCAACTTCGACAAAGACTGAAAGTACTCTTAAGGCAGATGGTAATTACAGCTATGAGTAAATAGAAATTATGAACATATTTCCACTTATGACATATCCTCTGAGTGTTGTATGAGAATGCTCCTTTTTTCACATGGATGTGTTTCTGTAGTGATTCTTTCATTAACTAGCTCCCTAAAGAGCTGTTAAAACTACATGCTGTAGTGGTTTCCACAGTTAGGCTGCTTCTTCTGATCTCTGTTAATCAGCCAAGTCGTGAAACTACTACTGAAACAATTCCTCTTTCTGATGGATTTGACACTATCACAACTTCAGAGCATGAATAAATGAATACTGGCACGATAGTGCCTGTATGCCTGGTAGAGTGTAGCTAGAGAGAGAATAAAATCACTGCATTACACAACAGCATTAATTTTTAGAAATGAACTAGTCTGGCTTCAATATAGACATCCAGAATAAAAATTAACTTTTTTTTTTTTCAGGATTCTAGTTTAATGCACAACAACATAAACCAGAGAATCCTTTCCCTGAATTTCCACAGAACAACACAGGTTTGCACGTTTCAGTCTGTTATGTTTTATTCTCCTCACAAAGGAAACCAATGTGTCTAATAAGGTTTACATGTTATTTCAGGACAATGTGACGAGTGTGCTGACTGCCTATTTTGCTTAGCTCAGCTAATGCCTTTCTTCTGGCACTGTAAATCTGTAAAGTAGAAATATATAATAATGTCATGTAAGTGCACCATGTGTTAATAAAAAAAACAGGTTGTCTTGCTAACCAGCTTCCCAGTTAGCAAAACATATGTTGCATCGGCTACCCACGTGACGTTACCTAGTACGCCTCAGGCAAGGCAGTAAAAAGGCCAACAGCTATCTGATTCTAATTCAAGACTTGCGAAAGTTGAAAATACATAGGATATGTTAGATGCCATTAGTATTTAAAAGCAATGCCTTAGCAGTCAGCAAACGAACACAAAATCTTATGTTTACTTGTTAACGCTGCTAACTCGAAGTGGCCTGCAGAGTACCCTTCTGATGGGTCGGAGGACGTCTGAGGGCAGACGCCAAACGCTGAGCAGGGCTCTCAAACACAGGGGTTTATTGTGAACACAGGGTTTCGGTACGGCAGGTTGGAGACAGCTTCCAGCCGCCCGTTTGTTTATTCCAGTTACAGGGGGTTGAGGTTTTGGGGGGTTTATCCTGTACATGTTATTCACACCAACACCCTCTCTTTGAAAAGCAGTGTAATGAGGAGGCAATCATAGGGGTGGAGTCCTGGGCATAGAAAATGCCTGCCTCCGGGAAGAAGGGGATAGCGAAGGCCTCGCCGTGGGGTCCCCGTGAGTGGAGATCATCCGCTGCACACGCCGCCAAGGCCGGAGGCAGAGCAGTTGTCATTTACTGCCACGTGAGCAATGGTCCTCGGTTACCACATCATGCTATCTGAGAGTCCTCCCATCAGCTAAGGCGGGGTAAAAGACTTTCTAACAACAACTGGTGTGTCTAAAGTAGACTTTCTGCCACCCTGAAGAGCTGTTGTTGGATTGGGTTTTCCTGGAATTGCAGGATCTGCAACTGCATCCTCAGCTACGTTTCCCCACCCAGAACCTCTGGACTCTTGAGACACTTCGCGTTTGGACTCTAGCCTGCAGTCAAATAGAGATGGGCAGGTCCTCCGAGATTAATTATAATACTGATCTCTACCCAGTTTCTAGGAAGTAAACAAGTGCAAGCTTCTTCACTAGGCCTCATAAAAATCTAAAAATGCACTGGTGTGATACTCCTGAAGTGGAAGGATATTTTAATCCCTTTATTTGATGGAGACACATTTGATGAAGACACACAAGTCATCAGATCTCTGAACCCCCTTCCCGAATGAGAAGTTCACTGTTGGCAATGCAATGCACAACCTGCAATAATTCAGAATGATTATGCAAATGGCAAAACCGTGTGACAATGCCTAATATGCCATCTATAAGCAGGTAAGTTAGGAAGAGCAACAAGTTGAGAGGTGTCTTCCTTTGGTAATACCAGATGGCAAAATCTGTAGCATTTGTGAGGCTGCTCCTTATTTGCATGAACACTGCAACAATCACATTTCCTTGAATGTATGTCACCAAATGTATTTATTTATTTTGGTTCGAGGACAATACTGCAAACTGCTGTAATTGTCTTTATTGCAAATACTTCAGTTAATGGGAAATGAATCTTTTTAATAGTTTTCTTGCTTCATTCTTTTTTTAAAATTTGTAATTTAAAATAATCCCAAATGTACATGTACCTTTTTAACTGTTTACAGTGTGTGTCTTTTCCACAGCTAAGCCACGAAGAACAAGTTCATGAAAATCTCAAGATTTTTTCCTCACTGGGGCATGCGTGCTTATGTGGGTGATGTATGTATATATATGTGTTATATACACGCTCGCACATCAGTTTATTGATGAAGAGTTTTGCTAGTATGGGCCAAAATGTTGAAGCAGTTTTGCAAGACTTGGAAACCAAAGAACATGCAACTATTCATCTCTCAAAAGTCAGTGTCATTTATATCTGTTTCAGATAGGTCAAACTCCAAAAAGATGAATTTAAATGGTTTTTCAATGGTATATTGTTATTTTTAAAATGCTGCACCTGTTTCAAATTCATGCTTAAAGGACATGAACTGAAGCATGAGTAACAAGTCAAATACTTGCAAAAGTTATATATGAATAAATGTTGTATTATAAAAATTACACTATCTCGAATTTAGGACACTGCTTTAAAAACACACTTTGATTTATCTCAGCCCTGAGACAAGAGACATACTGGACATGCCAATTAATTATGTCCAAATACTGGTGCCTCAGGCTCAAAGCACCTTCAGCACACCATCACCACCACATGGTCACAGCAGCCCTACCGTCTCTGCTTCTTCTAGGATACTTTGAATAATTTCACTCTGGGCTGGTTTTGGCTGGGGTAGCATTGATTTTCTTTGTAGTAGCTGGTATGGGGCTGTGGTTTGGATTTGTGCTGGAAACAGCGTTGATAACACAGGGATGTTTTCATTCCTGCTGAGCAGTGCTTGCATAGCGTCAAGGGCTTTTCTGCTTCTCCCCCCACCCCACCAGCGAGCAGGCTGGGGGGGCACAAGGAGTTGGGAGGGGACACAGCCGGGACAGCTGACCCCAACTGACCCAAGGGATGTCCCAGACCATAGGACGCCATGATCAGCAGATAAAGCTGGGGGAAGAAGAAGGAAGGGGGAATGTTCAAAGTGATGGCGTTTGTTTTCCCAAGTCCCCATTAGGCGTGCTGGAGCCCTGCTGTCCTGGAGATGGCTGAACACCTGCCTGCCCATGGGAAGTGGGGAATGAATTCCTTGTTCTGCTTTGCTTGTGTGCACGGCTTTTGCTTTCCCTATTAAACTGTCTTTATCTCAGCCCACAAGTTTTCTCACTTTTACCCTTCTGCTTCTCTCCCCCATCCCACTGTGAGGGAGGTGAGCGAGCGGCTGCGTGGGGCTTAGTTGCCGGCTGGGGTTAAACCACGACACACTCTCAGGTATTTTTACAGATGAGAATACCAATGGATTGCCAGACTTCTCAGAGTAGGTATGTTTAATAAATTTAGATCTGTTGCGATGCCTTTTAGACGATTACCTTGATGGCTCCCCACTCTTTGGCCATGCACTAGGTGAGCGTGGCTGCCCATGAGACCAGCCTGAAGAGGAGAGCCCAGGAACGCTGCTGGTGCCTGATGGGAGGGCAGCTGCAGCACCAGCCTCCCCACAATACTGACAGAAATGCTCATAGCTTTCTTCACGCTACTCCTGACATCAGAAGGAACGGCTTCCTTTAGTCCTTAATTAGAAATAGACAGAGACATCTCAGGGGACAGCCTAGGAGCAGAGCAATAACCTTACCTGAAAAACCTGGGACTGGATTTAATCTCCTACAAAGTCCGAAGAGTTATGTAGTCTCAGGCTAGGTTGAAAGCAATCATATAAAAAGCCTAAAGTTTTAAGTGTTGAAGAGTCTCCTTTTCTTTCTCTCTTTTTTTTTTAAAAGCACACTATTTCTGACTCAACGTACCTCCCTCAGACATCACTAGTTGGAACAACTCAGAAAGGTCTAATCTCCATGATGAACTGGGTGGAGACAATGCACCAACATATTCTCCTGCCCTTCAGTTTTAGGGAACGCCCAAGTTTTGCATTCAGAGGAAGATGTCCTTTTCCACAAACTACAGCAGTGCACCTTCACTGAGGAATTACCCACCTTCACAGACGTATGGCGTGCATTAATGATTCTGCTTGACCTTTTCAGAAACCACAAAATTGCCACATCACTAAGGGGAGATTCAGGAAGGATACCATTATTTTGCTAAGAGATCACCATCCTCCTAACAGCTGGCGTCTTTGAGGCTGTAAAAGACACGGGTAGGTAAATTGAGGGTGAGGTTGCTGGTGCTGCCCTTGCCTCGCATCAGTTTATTTCCTGGGAAAGGAAAGGGGCAGCGGCTCAGGCTGCCCTACGGCACGACGGAGGAAGGCGTTACCACGCGTATACACACACCTGGCAATGATTACTGAACTTGTCATAGTTTACAGTAACCTGCGATCTCACCTTTGCCTTTCCAGACTTTCCAATATCATTTTCCAGTCCAAAGATTTAGTTCATTATTCTCTGAATTGTGAGGGCTTTGCAACACCCCCC